TGCTGTTTTACGCTAGTATTCTGTAAAACTCTTGGATAGATAATTCCTTAAAAAAATATAATTCGTTTTACAGCTAGATTTTGAAATTGAAAAAAAAATGAAACTAATTTTTACGGATTTTATCACGTTTAATTTAATTTTTTTTAATTCCCGACGTTTCGGATGCTTAACAGCAACCATAGTCACGGAGGTAATGAGGTGTTTGACGTCCCGATGTCATAGTTAGCCTGGCTACCTTCAGTTTTTGAATATTAATTTTTGGTCCGAAGATTGAGCTTATAGTATCTTGAAGTCTTGCAGTGGTATGCTTGGGTTCGGATTTAATTTTAATAATTATAGGATCCCAAGAAGATGGCAGCAACTTTTCTTTTCTGTTTCTTCTCTATTGAAATTAGGATACTTACTTACTTACTTAAGTAATTAAGTAAAAAATACTTAAATAAAAAATTAAGTAACAAATACTTAAGTATTGAAATTAAAAAACAATTAGGATGTTTTTTAATTTCAATAGCCAATAGCCTCGCGAATCATCCTTGGTATGAATCGGTATTCTTTTGAGAGGATTTGTACTCTATCAAATATAGTGTAATGGTAAGGACGATCTTGAACATGTTCACACACTGCTGACTTCCCAAAACGTCGGTGCTTCAAGTCAGCTATATGTTAACATATAGCTGACTTGAAGCACTTTGATGATGTCGACATATTTGACTAGACTTTAAAAGGATCTTAAAACAGAACCTTGGTAGCTCTATAACGTAAAGACCGGAGGAACAACATCACTCCAAAATCAATTATTCAAGGACTTACAAGTAACGCAATCATATAAAATAGTTCAAGACTTAATATTGATTCTTAAATAGCACGATTATTGTGAAATATATACTAGTACTTACAGTAATGACAAAAAAATTACTAATGAACAGCTTCATTAAACAAATGTCATTTAATTTCGTCTAGAGCTTTATGTCAGGATTAGTTGGATAATTGATTTATAAGGGAGCAAAGCCCCGCGTACGAAGTATTCAAAGATAGTGTTTAGATTAACACTACGTTTAAATTTTCTAAGTGGTAGGTCCCTCTTATTTACGCGTAATAAGCCATGGTATCTCAGGGCTGCTTCGTCGTAATTTCTCAGTACACTAGCAGCTCAGGTTTAACACTGTTGGCACAAATGAAACTGTTTATTGCAATTTTAAGTGCTGATTTTACTACATGTTCAGCGGTGAAAGAATAATCATGAGGAAACCTTTATGTTTGATTACAAAAATTACGCATTTAAAAGACATGTTGTTTTATGAATACTTACAGACCAAAAAAACTGCTGTGGTCTCTTCCGTGGGTGGTGGTACCTACCCAGATGAATGCAGCAGAAAAGGAATCCTACCACCTTATAAATGCGAAGTCAGTCAACAGGCTTTAGAGCAGCACGGCGGATTAATTGCTCTATAAGCTTCCTAAAAACGAAAGGAGGGATATGCTCAGCATTGCGACGTATGTTTTTAACAAATTCTAACGCTACGAAGCACTGCACTTGAAGCTGTGTCCCGTTCAAAAAGATCAGAGAATATAACATTAAATATAGTCTGTGCAGCATTTAATCTCAGCCTTCAGGTGTAACGACGTACTCGTAACTATACTTGGTAGAGCCATGCTGCAGCTATATTAGTAGTATAGTTGTAGCACGAATCGGTCGGCTCAACCGGGGAAGGACCACGCTCTCACAGAATACCAGCGTAAAATAGCAGCTTAAGACTGATGTGTTTCGTATGGTGAGTGTAGAGAACCGGAGATCCTTTTTACTGGATAAGATGCATTCCATCTTAGTCCTCACGAGTGACAACACATCTGCATTTTGATTCGCAAACGAGGATAGACGTAGATGTTTATGGGCCACAGCAACCACATTGCTACAGATGGGAAGCCAATGTACAACACTGAAGTACACTACTTCGATAGTCTGCAAACTGATAATAAAGATGAAAATAAAGAAATTTTTGTTCAAAGCATAAAATAAAAAAAAAAAACACAAAAAAGGAACTCTTCTGTTCTGAGTAATCGTGTGGTATAGGCATAAACACTCACGCCTGTCACCCAGAGGGGTAGGCAGAGACTACGGACTTCCATTTGGCGCGATCCTGACACACCTCTCTCGCCTCTTTTACATCCATATATCTACGCATACACGCTCGTCGGTTAAGAATACTCCTAATCTGGCCCATTTTTAATGTATCGCCGATTTGGTCGATAAACCTTCGTCTAGGGCGTCCCTTCCCGACCCTGCCGTTCACTTCCGCAACATAAATTTGCTTTGTCACTCTTTCCTCGTTCATTCTTTCTACATGACCAAACCACCGAAGCATTCCTTTCTTAATCCTTGTCACAACGTCATCTTGCAAACCACACTTTTCTCTTATCACACTATTTCTCACCCTGTCATTCAGATTTAGCCCTAGCATACTCCTTAAGGAACGCATTTCTACAGCATTTATTCTACTCTCATGCTTCTTCTGCCAGACCCAACTTTCACTACCATACATTAAAGTAGGGACTAACACAGCATTATGAATTGCCATACGTGCCTTAGTTGACACATTCTGACTCCTCATAATAGCGTGTAGAGCCCCATTCACTCTATTTCCTGCGTTCACTCGTCGTTCTATATCCTTATCATTTCTACCATCCCTGCTAAACAAACATCCCAAATATACAAACTCATCCACTTGCTCAATCAACTCCCCTTCTATTCTTATTTCACATAAAGTTTTACTTTCTTCTCTTTCAAAAACCATCACTTTCGTCTTACTTGCGTTCACTTTCATACCCCTTTTTTTAAGACCAGTTCATCAAAGTAATCATTAGCAACTCGGCCGCCGACGATGCAAATATGACTTGATCATCGGCGTACAAAAAACATTTGACGGTTAACTCACCCATTCTCAACCCACATTCTTCAACTTTCAAACTTTGCAAACAACTGTTCATAAATAGGTTAAGAAGCCACGGAGAAGCTACACAGCCCTATCTGACACCTTTTTGAATGCCAAACCAGTCTGAGTAGACCCCGTTGACCCTGACACAAGCACTAGAGTCCCTATAAAAAGACTTTAATGCCTGTATAACCAGCGCTCAACCCAAATGAGGTCAGTGTTTGCCATAACACGTTCCTGTTCACTCTGTCATAAGCCTTTTCCAAGTCCATGAACGCACAAAAACCTTTCTGGTTTTTGGCCAAAAATTTCTCCGCAATCATGCGCATGGAAAAGACTTGATCCGTAAACACCATCCCCTTTCTAAATCCAGCTTGCACATCCCAAATTTTTCCATCAGTTTCTTCCATAACTCTTTCAATTAAAAGCTTAGCATACAGTTTAACCACAATGCTAAGCAAGCTGATACGACGGTAGTTTTTACAGTCCTGCTGTGACGACTATCCCTTACATATTGTTACTATACCGGCTTTGCAACAGTCTTCCGGTACCCGCTTCAGATTCCGACATAAATTAAACAAGGTATACAGCAGGCCTGCAACCACACACTCTCCAGCCCTTAGCATTTCAAGTGATACTCTATCATATCCGGCTGCCTAACCTGCTTTCATGCTTTTCATTGCTTTCATTTTTTCATCTATACTTATCTCCCTACCTCTCTTCACTTCTTCCGGAATTTCTATTTCACTTACTTCAGACGACTCTTCACTCTTAAACACGCTATCAAAGTATTTCTTCCATCTCTTTAAATTTGAAACTTCATCATTTGTACTTGCTTACATATTATTATTAAATTCAGTATTATACAGTTCATGTACTTTACAACTATTTATAAATATTTTTATAGAACAACGAGAGCGGCTGCCAAAACTAATATCAATTATTTAGATCGAACGATATTTAGGAATGGCTGTTACACCTGTGTGAACAATATATTTACAACAGTAAACTGTTCGTTCACGTGTCTCACTTATCAACTCTTTATCTTGGTAGAGTCGTGCTTTATTTGTATTATGGTTGCGGGCCTAATGAGTCGACTCAACCGAGGGTGGAACGCGCTCTCACAGAATACTAGCGCGAAATAACAGTGTAATATTATTGTGTTTCATATGGTGGTAGGTGGTGTCTCTACATAAGGTGTCCATGGACTGCAGTTGTTCTAATTTTGATTTATTTTAGATTTTTTTTCGTCACTTAGAATCTGATGGTCTATAAGTTCGTTTGTTAATTTAGTTTAATAAAAAAAATACATTCTAGTAAACGTAAAACATTATTTCTGAAACTTTAGACACCTACTGGAGTAATTTACAAGGAATATTTACTTTTAGGACCCCAGCCGAGCAAAAATGTAAAAGTAAAATTCCCACTTGACAAAATTGCGGCAACTTCTAAGAGACTGCGGCACCTCGGGTCGTAAAACTCACGCGTTTGTTATTTCGAGTCGTATTTTACATGGATACTTTGTTAAGCTTTTCTGAGCTTAAATTTTATTTAGAACTATTGTTACTTAAAGCAGCAATAAAGTCATTGTAAATAACGCAAATGCTAATCCTAAACTATTTGTTTTGGTTAGCACTGTACTACTTGCCGAAATGGCTTACGATGGGATAAGTTAATAAAACACACCACAACGTATGTACTTATGGTATATTATCACGTAGATATATCTACAAAATAAATTATATTCTTGTGGCCTATGATCTAATTGCTTTACACGTCAACATCGCGATTTACCTTTTGTACAGCGCCCTCAAGTATCGAAAAGGTGAACTACCATACCTTAACATACCGCCCACCAAGGACAATATTGAAAATATAATTGTCCTTCATTATGGGAAACCGCCCACCGTGAACTCGCGCCTTTATTGTCCTTAGTGAGTGTTGTTTACAATTTTGTTCTGAAATAATAAATACAACAATTAGATCTTAGAAATACAAATATAAAATAAAATAATAACAATAACAATTTGGTTTAACAATAGTAAAAAATAAAATAAAAATACTTTCTAATTAAGTACTAACAGGTAATACACAAATCTTAGAGGTAGGTCTTTTAACTATTGATGATTTGGTTCGTAATGTAACTACTCGGGTTATTTGATCAGGACCAGGATGTTTTTCAATAATCCGACCAAGTAACCAACGACATGGTGGTAAATTGTTTTCCTTAACTAACACTACATCCCCGATATTAGGTCCTGGAACTTGGTAAGTCCATTTATATCTATGCAACAAGTTTGACAAGTATTCTTGTGACCACCGACGCCAGAAATTCTGTGTCATTTTTTGGACTAGTTGCCACCGAGTTAGTGAACTTCTATTTGTATGTTCATAATTATCGTCTGGAATACTTATTAGTGGTTCGCCTATTAAGAAGTGACCAGGAGTTAGAGGCATAGGATCAGATAAATCATCACCATTAATAACCGTCATTGGTCTGGAGTTCAGACAAGCCTCTATCTGATAGAGCAGCGTGCTAAGCTCCTCAAAGGTTAAGGTTGAATCTCCAATCACCCTTTTCAAGTGGTGCTTTGCAGATTTGACCGCAGCTTCCCACAAACCTCCGAAATGTGGTGCATGCGGTGGTATAAAGTGCCATTGGGTCCCCTCAGCTTCAACCTGTTGAGCAACCGATTGCTGAATTGACTTAAGGTCATTCAATTCTCGAGCAGCTCCAACAAAGTTGGTGCCATTGTCGCTCCAAATTTGAGAACAATGGCCACGTCTCGAAACGAATCGTCTGAAAGCTGCTAAAAAGCCTTGTGTGCTCAAATCACTGACGGCTTCTAAATGTATGGCGCGCGTCACCATACAGACAAATACACAAATGTAACCTTTATAAGCGTGGTAACCACGACCCTTTGATGTTCTTATATTTATTGGACCAGCATAATCCACGCCGCTGTGTAAAAAAGGTCGTGTAGGAGTACATCTGACAGCTGGAAGAGATCCCATGAATTGGTGTCTTACTTTGGCAGCATGTTTGATGCATATCACGCATTTTCGCACATGTTGCTTAGCTAGGTTTTTCACGCCTATAATCCAATATTTTGATCTTAGGTAATTTACCATTGATTGTGGGCCACCATGCAAGGTTATTTCATGAGCATTAGACACAAGTAATTTACTTAGGTAACAAGACTGAGACAGCAGTATAGGATGTTTGATTTGTTCCGTTAGTGATGATTCATGTAATCTGCCACCTGCTCTTATTATACCGATATTATCTATATATGGACACAGGGTTCTGATTTTACTATCTTTTCTCATTATGTAACCCTTTTCTTTCAACTGTAAATATTCTTCTGAGAAGTCTTCCATTTGAAAATGCTTTATGCAACACGTTAGTGCTTCATCTAATTCTATCTTTTGTAAATATTTCTGCTTCTTTTCTTTTATTTTTAAAAATCTTCGACAATATGCAATAATTCTTATCAATCTTCTCAATGAAGAAAATTTGTGCCACGGAAAATCTTGTGGTACAGCACTAATATGTACCTTTATACGCTTTTCTATATTAGTGTCCATATCCCTTGATCTGTGATATCTAATTTGCTTATCCATAAGAAAACTTGGTCCTGAAAACCATAATTTGCTTTCAGTCAGCGCACTTGGCTTAATGCCTCTTGATGCACAATCTGCTGGATTGTGTTTAGTGGCAACGTGAGCCCATTGTGACGCATCCAGCGTACTAAGAATTTCGGACACTCGATTGCCCACAAAAGTTTTCCACCTACTTGGGTGACTGTTCAACCAAGACAGCACTACGGTGGAATCTGTCCACGCTCTAACATTCTCTTTGGGAATGTGCATTGCTTCTGCTACTTCTGCCAATAGACGAGTCAACAACACAGAACCACATAACTCTAACCGAGGGATGCTTACTTGTTTTATTGGAGCCACCTTGGTTCTCGCCATCAAAAGAGCAACGTGAATATCGCCTTTTGCATCGACGGATCTTGTATAAACCACAGCTGAGTATGCGGTTGCTGAAGCATCACTGAATCCATGGAGCTCAACGCTTCGATCAGTTTGTCTGATTTGAAGCCATCTTGGAATACGAACTTCCGTAAGTTTTGACAACTCATTACGGTAAGTCCTCCATTCATTTATGAGATCTTCAGGAACCTTTTCATCCCATCCTACACCTGAAAACCATAGCCTTTGTATAAATACCTTTGCTAGTATAACGGTAGGTGCTAGCCAACCCAGAGGGTCAAATAGGCGAGCAATTTCTGATATTATGTTTCGTTTAGTTTCAGGTCCCGGTGTGGGAGCGAGCTGTACTGAATATTTGAAGACATCGTTACTGCGGTTCCAGGTAAGTCCTAAAATTTTAGTTATATCTAGTTTAATATTCTTTTCTTCATAGGTTTTATTTTCTAGACTGTTCTCTACAATGGTTTCAGGTAAGTTCTTGTTATTTGCTCTTTCGCTCTTTGTTTCTTCCGCTTCCTGCTTATTTATTGCTGTAAGTAATTCTTGACTATTGCTATTCCATTTCTGTAGTTCGAAACCTCCCTTCTTTAACAAATTCTTCATCTGTCTATATAATTCTTTACCATCTTCGACTGTAGAGCACCCAGTCATTAGATCGTCCATATAGAAAGATTCCCGAACTCTATTTGCTGCTAAGGGATAAGTTTCCGCTTCATCAATAGCGACTTGATTCAGCGCCTTTACAGCCAAGTAGGGTGCTGATGCAGTCCCGAACGTTACGGTGGTTAATTCATAATCCTGTATCTGCTTGTCCGATCCCTCTCTCCAGACTATCCTTTGAAACTTGGCATCATTTTCGGTCACCCTTACTTGACGATACATTTTTATAATGTCAGCTACGACTCCAATGGGATATACTCTCCAACGCAGTATAATGTGGCGCAAGTCGGATTGTAAGGTTGGTCCTACCATAAGCGTATCGTTCAAAGAAACACCGTTCTCATTTTTACAGGACGCATCGAACACTATCCGAACCTTGGTTGTGAGTTTGTCCTCTCTTACGACAGCGTGATGGGGTAAGTACACAGTTTCATTTTCTTTCTTTTCTTCGCTTACAGGTCTCATGTGGTTTAGATGTAAGTATTCCTTTAAAACCTTTGTGTATTTTTCTTTTAGGTCCTTATTTTTCTCTAATTTTCTTTCCATAGATATTAATCTTTTTACAGCGATATTACGTGAGTTGCCGCCTTTACATGCCGGCTCTTCATCTCTGAATGGCAGTTTGACCACATATCTGCCATCAGATGTTCGAGTGGTAGTAGCTGCAAAAAGATCTTCGCACTTTTGTTCTACTACTGAAAATATTTTCGCACTTGGTGGAATTTGTTCTTCTAACTCCAAAAATTTCTTGAGTATGTCGTTCTGATTTACTTGTGCGTGCATCACTGATATTTTTTGTGTACTATTATTTAATTTTGTTCTATCTACAACACCAGAAAGAATCCAACCAAGAGTTGTGCACTGTGCTATAAGATGTCCTGTTGGTGCCTTTTTTACACCGTCCCTTATGATTTGACCATAGACATCAGCTCCCAATAATAGGTCAATCTTATTAGGAGTGGCGAAATCTGGATCAGCCAGTTTCAAATCCCTCAAATCCACCCAATTTGCTAACTCTATTCTTTTGTCTGGAAGGTAAGACGTTATAGTCTTTAGAACATAGGCCTTAACCTGTAGTTTGATGTTATGGTCTATGCATGATTTGAGATCAAGAGTAACTACGTACTTTGATACTATATCTCTGTCGGCACCTAGTCCGGTTACCGTGCTCTTTACTGGAGTACGCTTTAAGCGTAAGTACTGCACTGTAGCTTCAGTTATAAATGAAGCTTGGGAACCTTGATCAACCAAGGCCCGCACTACTTGAAAGTTTCCTGTGGTGGACTTGGCTCTTATGAGCGCTGTGGCTAATAAAACTTGTCTAAACCCCATGACGTTTCCAGAAGAAAGACAGCTAACAATAGCTGTTTTATCACAATCGACATCCGAACTTTCAACAGATGTACTAGCTCTATTTCCCTGGTCACCACTGTTAGTAGCCTTACCGCTAGTGGGATGTAATAAAGAATGGTGTCTTTTCTTACAAACTCTAAAATTAGTTGGGTTTTGGCACTGTTTAATTGAATGGTTACCACCTAAACAATTAAAGCAAATATTATTACTTAAAACGAAATTGTATCTTTGCTCATAAGGAAGCTGTAGGAACTTTTTACAAAAACATAGTTTGTGTACTTCTGAACAGTATTCACAACAAGTTTTACTACCCACGAAATTACGCTGTTTATATGCGACCAATGCTTTTGTAGAAGGTGGAGTATGTAAATTATTATTAATTAATCCTTTTTTAGGTTCAATGCACTCTAATGCTCTAAAACGACTTTCTAGAAAAACTTGAAATTGTTCAAATGTAGGCAAATCGTTTGGACTATTACTACTAGTTTGTAATTCCCACTCTTTACGCGTTTCTGGGTCCAATTTAAATGTCATAACATGAATAATAATTAAATCCCAAGTACTAACATTAATATCTAAATTTTTTAAAGCATGAAGACAATCATTTGTTGTATCCAACAAATCTTTCAAACCGTTAGAAGATTCTATGTTCATACGTTTTTGAGCGAAAAAGCGTTTAAGAATACAATTAGCAAGATACTTTTTATTGTTGTATCTACGTTCCAACTGTTCCCAACATTGATTGTAATTCGCATCAGACACTGGTACTTGTCGGACAAGTTGCTCAGCTTCGCCCGTGAGATGTCCTTTTAAATAGTGCATCTTTTGTACATTATCTAAGGAACTGTTTTTGTGAACTAGCGATATAAACAAGTCTCTGAAGGTTGTCCACTCTGAATACTTCCCGGAAAACATGGGAATGGAAATTTTAGGTAATTTAACTTGAAACTCCTTATCGGAACTATTCGAATTTCGATTGACATGACTATTGGTATCATTATCATTTAAGAACATACTCAACTCTGCCCTATAATCGCAATAAAACTCTTCTACCATATCGTACAAGTCTCGTTTAATATACGTTGTTTCCTTTAATATTGCACGATCTATCGTTTTAAACAACTGTTTGTGGTTTTCTACAAATTCAAACCATATTTTATCTAAATTTTCTATTCTATTTTTAACATATGTACTTGTCTTTCTGTCCTTTGAACATTTTCTAAAATTAATTTGAGACTTATTCATTCGGCTGTATAATTCATCTTGTAATGCAATAAGGTTCTCCATATTTAACAATTTTACTATAGATACAAGAACACAACTAAAATAAACTAAGTCAATAAAATTACAAAATTATTCTAAGTCTTTTGCACTTTAAACTTTGGCGAAAATTGGGCGTAGGTTCCCCGTTCCGTCGTTTTTTACACAATTATTGTAAGTCCTTAAATCTACACACAAAGTTTACAAGTATTTCAAATTAAATTTAAAGAAATTTTTAAGTTAATAATTTTTTCAATGTTTAACAATTAATAGACATAAAGTTCAAATTTGTTTAATTTAAATAGACTTGTAAGTATTTATAGAATTTTTAAGTTTTATAATTTAACGATATAAAGTTCAAATTTGCTTGCATTAAATATACACTCGAAAAGTACTCACAGTTTGTTCTTCATCCACTTTACCGTAACTATGTCGCACTGTACTGAATGAAATTCATTCACAGGAACTGCTTAGTTGTCCTCCTCTTGCCACCACGTGATGCGTGGCGCTGTTGCTTAACGCCGAACTCTCAGTTTTCCTCGTCTCGCCACCGCGTGATGCGTGGCGCTGTTGCTTAACTCCGAACTCGGTTGTTCTCTTCTCGCCACTATGTGGTGTGTGGCGCTGCTGCTCCACACTGAACTGAACTTGTGCTTGTGTGTTACGCGTGCACTCTCGCGATGTGTACACACATTACTGTATAGCACTCTTAAAGGATATACACTACCAAATCTTGCTTGCACTATGCCAGCTGATTTTCGATAGTAATCCTTTTGCCCTAATTAATCAAGCCCGAATTCAAAAATAGCCGTTTCACAATCCGGCTCGAAGGACCATATGTTTTGGTTAGCACTGTACTACTTGCCGAAATGGCTTACGATGGGATAAGTTAATAAAACACACCACAACGTATGTACTTATGGTATATTATCACGTAGATATATCTACAAAATAAATTATATTCTTGTGGCCTATGATCTAATTGCTTTACACGTCAACATCGCGATTTACCTTTTGTACAGCGCCCTCAAGTATCGAAAAGGTGAACTACCATACCTTAACACTATTATAGGCAAGATTTAGCGTTTGTATATATTTTTTTTAATTTTTGACGAAAAAAGGTGACGGATTGCAAATATCAAGTAGTTTTAAGTCTGAAAAGTTAAAGTTAAGACATCCCACTAACCACTACACAATTTAGCAAGAAAATTCAGGATCATTTTTATATTATTCAAAATCGTTGATTTGTCATCTTCATCATCATTATATTCGTTGCCTTTTTTATTCTTGTTTCATTGACCATGAATCACACATATAATTATACTTTGTAAATACAGTGTATATTTATTGCTTCTATTTACATGTACATCACACACAGTACATAAAATCGCGAAAACTAACCAAAATCTAGTTAAGGAAACGTATAGATCATAATTATTAATTAAAAATTGGGTATACCTAAAGGTAGCATTTTAGTACCACTGCTCTTTTTATTATACATAAAATTTCTCCCGAATGCAACTTCACATAAGTATATACTTTTCGCAGGCGACTTTCCAATCGTGATAAAAGCAGAATACTCAATGGCAAATAGTGCTCTAGGAAATATTAAAGGTTGGTTAAGTGCCAATGATTTGAATTTAAATGTAAGGAAAACAAAAATTATGCAATTTTGATCATATAATACTATTAAATATTAAATATCCAGTATAATAACGAAAAAATATACGAGGTAAATACTTTTAAATTTTTAGGACTACATATTGACATACAGATACTATTACAAACGACCTCATCAAGCTGCATTCACGACTTACCACGGATATATAACGTCAAAACTTACTTACGAGTATGGTATACTTCTGTTGGGCAATATAGGAAAAGCTTTTTAAATACAGAAGAGATGCATTCGCGCCTTATGCAATGTTTGGTACCTGAACAGTTGGAAACCCCTTTTTAAAGAGTTTAGTTTGCTTTCGATACCTTGCATATATATCAGGGAAACTTGAGCTTTTGTGAAATCCTTCCCCAGCTTTTACGAAACAGGGAAAGAAGCCACATTGAGACAATTAAGACAACAATACACAAACCTAATACATCAACCCCCCTGTCGCAAAGAGATATATAAAATAAATATTTATAATATGACAGTAAGATAGTAGTATATAACTTGCTTCTGGAAGAACTCAAAATACTTAGTGAGCCGATATTTAAAAAAAAATATTGACTGATTGGCTCTTGGATATTTTTTTATAGTTATTAGGAATATTTTAATTGGCGACATTAATTTATTACTTGATTTAATCTAATTTAATTTCATTATGGGTAGTATTGTTATTTTTTGCACGTATTTTGTAAAATATATTTTTATTTAAATAAATATATTTTTTTACTTAAAACTGTAATGCAAAGAAAAACTAGTAACTTAATTATCATACAGTCCTTCTCCCCACGATATCGTGCCAAGAACGTTCGCTGCGTTGCCCCCTTGAATGGCTATAATTAGCATTAGAGCGATAAAAGAACCAGCCCTTATATTACCAGCAGCAACGACCAGCCGCGGATAGAGTTCCTTTGGGAACTTCACCGCACGTGGACCCCAAGGTAAGATAGTCTCTACAGCAAATGGCACAAATGTGTAGTCATCTCAGAGACTCATATTTGTGCCACTTACTTAGTTCAGCTGCCTGTGATACTACCTCGGCTCTAAACGAGTACCATTGAGATGAGAGGCCAACAAAGTATCTACGCAAGTAGCATCCCACACTAGGGCTTTACCTCTCTCCCAAGGCACCGATAGCATACCGTCGGGTCTCTTGCCATTGTCTCAAAATATTCCACGAGGCTCTGTAACCGAAGGAACATTTATAGAGACAAGAGCTCTTCGAATGACATCGTTTAAAGAACCATGTCGTGAAAACTTACAAGCACTTTTCTTACATGAAAGTCCGTGGAGCCTAAGCTTGTCGACGCTGCTACCACAAGGGCACTGATGGGGTTGACAAATCGCCGCTCCTAGCTAGATTCTTACGGCAATGCGTAAGCTTTCTCCATTACGTTATGTTCCGAAATTACTTGATGGTAAAGCATGTAACCAGTGACTTAGTCGAAACAGCTAGAAGGCGTGCTTTATCTTGGTCACTATCCAACGGAATACCCCACTGTTTGTTGGTTAACTTCCAGTGGAACATTTTCGCCGGGACAGAGCGTTTGCCATGTCTGCCTTGCCTCCGTAGCAAAGCACAGGTCTACTTTATTATTTAAAATTATTTTACATAAATCACTGACACTACACACGGAAGCAAGAAAAGCAGGTAATGCAAGGCTAGAAAGATTTCTCACACCAATACCAACAAATTTTTGTGGTCTTGTTGGTCTAGCTAGAGTTTAGGCTCTTGTATTCAAATTTAAATTTAGAATTTTTTATAAAGCTGTTTTAAGATTATTATCAATATCTTTTAAAATATAGAAACATATCTAGACTGGTCTCGAGCGGAGTAAGTATGTAAGTCTAGATACAGGGAGACAATGTTTTAAAATAATATTAAACGTGGCTTAAAAACTGATCCAATTTGTTTTTAAAACAAGTTTGATACTATCGAAAAACAAAGGGGCACCTAGCAGGTATAATGATTACCTACAGTTTTTATTCCTGGAGAATTATGACAGAAATTTTGAATTAAAGTCTCTGTGAGAAGAAGATAATTTATTAGAAAAAATTAAATATTTCACATTTATTGCTATTTGATTCAAGGCCAATATTTTTTAAAATTAAAAATATAAGTAAGATCAATGAGGACGTTAGAATTCACTATTTTTTTAAATCAAATTTAGTACGAGGTCGAGATAAATGAGTATTAATTGGGTAACCTAAATTTTAAAAAGATGTCTCTTTTAGTTGAGACATAATTGATTTATTTATTGTTTTATCAAAATAAAAATGGAAAGAAGTGAAAGTAAATAATTCCAACTCTTTTCACTATTAGTGAACTAATTTTGGACAGTGCATGCCAATGCTTTAGCAGCTAGCTGCATCCTCGCATCTCTAAGAATTCTTTTAACCACTGGTACATTACGATGATAATTGTAAATTTTCTCTGAAAAAAGGGAAAAATTTGTGTCATTAGAGGATTTACTAATTGATTTAGTTACGAATTTCTACGGTAGGCTTTTTTTTTATAGGATAAGGGTGACAAACGAGCACACAGTCCACCTGATGGTAAGTGGTTGCTGCGGCCCATAGACATCTACATCTATCCTCTGTTACAAATCAAAATGTAGATGCGTTGTCACCCGTGAGGACTAAGATGGAATGCCTCATTTCCAGTAAAAAGGGCCTCCGGCCACCTGCACTCACCAAGCGAAACGCAGAGGTAAACCTTTACTTCACGCTGGTTTTCTGTGAGGTCGTGGTACCACCCCGGTTCGAGCCGGCCCATCCGTGTGACAGCAAAAGCTGCCGCGTGGCTCTACCACTGTTATAAAAAAGGCTGTGAAGCTGAAATACTATTACTATGGCATAGTTTAATATGTGTATTAATCCCCTTTTACCTTTAAACAGCCTACCGTCGGAACAATTTTGACACTGTAGGAAATCCCGCTGTGAATACAGCGGAGCGGAGATATTCATTAAAAAATCTAAACAGATCTCTACAGCACTCAAAAGTCTTTATATTACATAAGCTTCATATTGACTTGAAATGTGCTGTACCACCGCATCTTTCCTTGAAACACAATCGCAAAGTACCGCCTGATTCTACTTATTAAATACATTAATAGTTTTATTAAGTGCTTGAACGCACTAGATATGTACTTACTTTATAATAAAATATTTTTCTTATTAAAATGTGAGCAAGCAACAAGGTTACTTAAAAATTTGAGTAAGATAGTGAGGGCTAAATATATAATATATATAAAATATATATATATATATATATATAAAATATATAATAAATATATATAAAACAGGAAATCGGCAACAGCATCTTGCTTATACCAACTCAAAAAAAAAAAAGAAACTGTGGTTG